TTTTATGATACGAGAATTAGAAGCTTGTAAAAATACAACATTTTGATTAGCGTAAAAAGCGACATATTAGTTCATCAATACCTCGCTTTTAACAGTGGTGCTATGACTGTAATGCATCTGATATGAGATAGCAGTACTTCCACACAATATCATTGATCATAAAACCGACAATAGTAACAAAAAAAACTTAGTATCCGTTACATTCAATCAGTTCCATATGTCCGCAAAAACGTATGTGTAACGTGCCTTTGCCTCAAAGTCCCGGAAAAAATGAAACGCCTCTCGTGGATTGTTCTATGTTCCGATATAAATTAAACATTTTATGGCCACAACAATCGCTCATCTGTAATTATAATAAGGCCCACGAGTCACGTTCGATGGACAGCGCTACGTTTAGTTAAAGAATAAACATCAGATTCGTGATAAAGACACTTACACATGAGTATGTTCAAAGTTCAAACTGAAATTATATTAACACGTCGTGTTGTCTAAAATATCTCACACCTTTTAAAGAGCAAATACCTACGTTTTTCTTGAATGTACACAAAATATTGAAAGCACAAAGTAGATAACAATGAAAATATACTTTACAAATATTTTTGGATTGCCCATAGTTTAAAAATTGGTATTATTTAAAAAACTTAACTAGTGGAGTAGTTTAAGGAAATCAGACAATTTTAATGTACAAGGACTTCAAGTTAGGTGTGGTTGGTATACATTATAAGACTCACTATCTGATATCGGATCAGTCAAGCAGCTATAATTGCAATGAAATACCACGAGATCTGTGTTAGAAAATCTTGGTCCCTATAATAGGCTGTAAAGTTACGAGCAAGCTTTGAGTGGTGGGTTTACAATCTTATGTAAATTAACTAATAGCCTATAAATTAAGTGCGAAAATCAAAGTAGGTACTAATGAGACTAAATATTGCAGTCCTATAATGTAAAGGTAGATTCATTTCCAAGTATTAATTTTATATTTTTGTTCGATTTAAAAAGAAGAGGAGGCATTCAATTGGATGTAGTGTTTTTTGTGTAGGTACTCTACGTAAAAAATTTTTCGTTGACAATTGTATACTGACGTTCATTATCCTATTTTTTTGAATTTTATATATTTTGTCTGAGAAGCTATTGAGTAAAAAGTAATTACTTTAATTGCTGTCTTCTTAATGATATTATCATAAGGGAGATTCATAAGTAGCCGAATTTTCTTATTTCATTACGGCTTTTTGCTACCATGACCTCACCCAATAACACACAGACATTAATGTTGCGCCAGGGTATGCGCCGGCGCACAAAAACCGTGTCGAATCAGATACAATACGGTCTCGACCACATAAATTATATTTTAAAAAATTATTAAATATGCAGTAAATTGAAATAAAACTATTATTAAATAGTGTCACGCTGTTTTCGTACGAAATATAAGAATGCAGTGATTTTTTTCAGTTGTTTGTTTTTTTTAAATTGTTGTAGGACGTACTCGTATCTGTATACCTACGCTGATATAAGCATCTACAACATACGTCTTAAAAACTCGTAAACAATAAAATATTTCCAACCTCAGATAAAAAAAAGAACTAATTTCTACTTTAAATTATGTTGCAATACGTCAACATTAAAATCTACTACTCAATTATTTAATAGTGTGATTTTTTTTTAAATTGTGATAAAGAATTGATATTGATGACATATAAGTATTAGATGGAGAGCAAACTCACTATGTCATATCTTTTTCACGTGTCCTATCTACTTTAGATAAAACGTAACATGAATTTTACCTGAACGGAATACATTATATTTTTTCTTTTTTCCATCGCAGACTATAAAAATGATGACATACAAGATGATTAATGTAATCGTAAATATAAGACTAAAATAGCTACATTGATAAATTATTTATTTTAAATACAATACATTAGTAATGCACTTTCTTCTAATACCAAGTAAAGTGCCCGTTCAAACCCAGCTCTCGCAACTCTGACATTATTATTTGCGAATATACTTTTGAAATGATCAGTACTTACTTATATGGTGAAGAAATGCCATGTTAAAACTTGCATGTTTAACAGAACCAGACTGAAAGAGACATACACACTGTGAAGTAGCCATCGCGGTGGACGCACCCTATCACATCTCTCTAGCATTGAGAGGGTGGTCTGTGCCTAGCAGCAGGTCGAACACTTCTGAATTATTTGTTAATTATCAAATAAAATGAAATTTCATTGAAGGTTAAATAAAATAGTACAATGAAATCAAATGGTTATAAAATGGTCGTATCTAATGACCGAATTGAACAGTTATAAATATATTTAATCGATTGAAATTGTGTTTATTTATGTTCGTAATCAGAAATTCACGCGTACTTGTTGAGAGAACAAACACGTTAAACTGTTAGTCACGGTGGCTGTTTTTATGTACATTCAGAGTTAACACTTGCATTTAAAACTCCGCATGAAGAGATCGTACACGTTTCTAATTAAAGCATCAAAGTAATGTATGTACATACCTTTCGCCGAGTAAAGTTATCCAAGCAAATGACTGAAATTGTCCTTATAACAACGGGAGCGTGGCGTTATCTGGAATGCGTGTGATACGACCACGCAATGCTGAATAAACGCCCCGTGAAGTCATAAAACCGAGCCACGGTAACTCTAAAGGACGCCTATAAATTCTTTATTTTATGATGGCGAGCATATATTTAATTCTAAGAGCGTCCACGCTGTTTCCTTTTTGTCATATAAACAAAATTTATTGAAAAATTTAAAGAGCCGTCCATCGATATCGACTAATAATAAATGTTACAGAATATTTAAGGCGCTAATGATCTCTCATAACGCGTAATGTTCTTGTAAATAAACCATATATCAAAACAAAGTAGTCTGCGGACAGATATTTAATTGAAAAATGCCCGTTTTATATCAATGAACAGAAAACCAATCACGTTTAGAAAATAACTAAAATATTATATAATAGAAAAATATTTTACGACTTTTTCCATCCAAACTTCACTGGAGTGCTCAATAAATACATAATAAAACATAAATGAGTATAGCTGTACTAAATAACCCTTATAATAATAGGTTTTACTTACAATGATTTCTATTATTATAAAGAAAAATAATATTTGTATTTATTTTGAATCTAGTTAGATAAGTGCGAAAGCTTTAACGATTTATACTCAGTCGGATACTTACTAAAGCTCTAACAGTGCTCAACTTCAAATTACTTACTTTTAATGACTATTAGCAGGAAGCCATGAGCTACGCAGATAAGCAATAACAGTAATAAGCATACATTTTCTATTTTTATATAGAAACAGCAAATTAAATAAATTTTAAATAATAATTAAAATAAGGATTGTTTTACTTTACGTAAACGTTTTTAATAACTTTTTCCTGTAAATAAACACTGCATAGTAATATTTTATACCTTTTACTCATTACTATTTTCGTTATGTCATTATTAACTTTGAATATACATACACTACATTTTATTTTTCTAAGCATATTTTTTTCTTCTTCTATCTTTTAATAATAATAATAGTTTATTTCACAAAAATACATAAACATTGTAGTTGAAAAGCATATATGTAGTACAGTACAATATGGAACAATCAAAGCTACCAATACAAATAATACGGTTGTCTCTGTTGCTGTACTAGGAGACTTGTATTATGTCAATCCCCCAAATATTGTCAGAAATAAATTATCTGTTTAAGAAAGCACGTTTAAGAAATTGAAGCAGAGTAGGTACTATAGTAATTATGTCGTCCTGACCCATTTAGGCCACGGTAGCCAATTTCACTGAGACTAGCAAACAGCGCAGGATATTATAGTGTAAAGACACAAGTAGGTACTCAGAATAATATATAAATAAGAAGAATAATGTGCAATATTTATTAATAGGTATATGTATACTTAACGCCAGATTGATATAAGTAAATACGTTAAAATAGCTTTCATGTTAGAGAATCGAAAAGGACCTTATAAGTTCAGTGTCAAAAAATAAAGTCCGGCACTTTTACAATAAGCAAATTCAGTATAAGAATCTAACTAATTGAATTAAAATTTACAATTAAAATGAGTCTAAAGTAATCTCTAAAATTAATAAAATTTAATACTTTCTTAGATTATTAATTATAAAATTAATTAAAATTATAAAAATGTTTAAAGTAAAAAAAATTGTAAGGTAATTGGTGCAATTTTCATTTCTTTTTGTTATTTGTGGGTAGGCTGTCTGTAACAACTATACCTTCGAGACATCTAACACCTCAGTCTCTCCCGTGACCATAATTGCTGTAAAGCATTCGAATCGTCGGGAACCAAAAATCCAAATAAATCCGCGAAAAAATCCGAAAAGATAGTTTTATTTAAAATAGTAAAATTTAATTTTTACTAATAATTTCAAATATAAAAACATAATATTCTTAATGTCTGTAGACTATTTATTTCACTTAAACATATCGTAAGATATTATTACGATCAATAATGCGCTTTTTTTTCTTTAATAAAGCAATCTCTGTTAGCTCAGGTGCTGTGATTTAGAGTCAACATTTACAAAAGGTATATGTCAGATATTATATTTCTATAGCAATATTGTGTTATGCAACATCGAGTTTACTTAGGATGAACAATATTAAGTCGACCATAATGTTAAGGTGAAAAATTTTATTCGCAATAATTTATTGATAAAAATGCCTTTTGTCTATAACTATGAAATTGATAAGGCATAACAAGCTTTTAAAATGCAAATAAATAACGATTTAAACTATAAATGTCAAATTAATAAAACAGCAATAAAAATCCTTTTAATAACTAACGCTGTTTTGTGTCAAAGTCAAAGCGCGAGAATTTAAATTATATGTTTAGCAGATAAGAGCGCTAGATTAGGGCCACGTGAGCAATCCACAAGATTTTTAACTATTTTTCTGATCAAATTTAAATTATTTTACGGACGTCGATAAATCAATATAAAGAAATCTGTTGTCAATCGTTCAAATGTGGCTAAGGCTCGTTGTAACCGCCCACATCACGTCCGACGATGACGCCGCAAAAACGATACATGTGAAAATAGTTCATAAGAATAAACAAACATCTATTCAACTAGTTTTCATGTTCATGAGCTATGCATCGGAATGTATGTCATAAATATTGAATACCGATTACGTTTAACCATACAGAATTGATAGTTCGAGATTTCAGTTGTGTTAGTGTCAAGCGTGTGAATATACCTTTATGTTAGTGTGCTGTATGTTTTAGTTTCATTTATTTAATTTACGTGTGTTTGTATGACTCACAAGTATTTAAAACTTTTAAAAATTATTTCAAAATAAAATGGATAAAATCTAAATACAATAGCAACGGTTTTAGGGTTCCGTATCCAAAGGGGTCAAACGGGACCCTATTACTAAGACTCTGTCCGTCTTTCACCAGGCTATATCTAATGAACCGTGATAGATAGACAGTTGAAATTTTCACAGATGATGTATTTCTGTTGCCGCTATAACAACAAATACTAAAAAACAGAATAAAATAAATATTTAAGGGGGCTCCCATACAATAAACGTGATTTTTTTCCCGTTTTTATAGATAATGGTACGGAATCCTTCGTGAGCGAGTCCGACTCGCGCTTGGCGTGGGTTTTTTGAGTGCTTTTAAATTAAAATTAAATATGACTACCCATAAGTAAATCATCATGATATTTGCTGATATCTAACAAAAAAAATCAATAAACTCCAAATCATGATCAAGTACATAAATCACAAAAAGTCGTTACTTTTTCAAACACCAATCAAACAATTTCGATAGAATCATCTCATGACGAGTTGGGAATGGAATAAAATGTTTGCATCGTTATTTCGTGTATTCTTAAGCGCCAAATAATTTTCTTTATAGGCTCATTGTAAGAAATTCGTAAAATAAATTGAAAATTGTGTGTAGAGAGAGAGCGAGAAAAGTGGATCATATTATCAAAACACTTGAAACCTAACAGAGGAATTTATTTTATTAATTAATTAGAGTGCGAGAAAAACGCGCTGAGTTTTAATTTATTCATTTAAAGTTTTGTTTTCAGCTAGTACTACTTTATTTCAAGAAATCGTAATTTAATCTAAGCTAACTTTTAAATTACTTTTACGATTCCATTTTTCTTTCCAGAACATTCAAAGCCAGCAAAACAAACAAGACCTCGTTATACATTGAAACTAGTAACAATAGAACGATTGGCAGAGTATGTATTTTCTTTTATTTTGTTTACTTTTTCAGATATCGAGCGTCTCGGGAATATACCCCGGAATCGTCGAGGCATGTCGGCACGACCGGTGGCAGGTGCCGTCGGTCACGTGCAATTGCAACTAAAAGACAGAAACATTGCGAAGCTTCCGAAATGTTAACTTAACATTGTGAAATATAGTTAAACCAATCAGTAATATTTATTTAAATTATTTTATAAATATAAACGTGGATTAATTTTTTATCAGATATTAGACTTCGTTAAATTAAACGCAAAAATATCTTTATTTCAAACAATTGTTTCTTAAGGCATTTCTGAAGAAAAAACATTCATATGGAATATAACCGTAAAAAAATTAAAATCTTTAAAATAATCTGTATCTACTAGACAAAGCTTTTAAAGGAACACTTAGTTCAGTCATACTTTAATTTTTTACTAAACGAGTTAAAAATATAACAAAAGAAAGAGAGATTTGTTTGAAATAGATAAAGAATCAAAAATGAAGTCTTACACAAATCTTCGATTCGTAGGGATACAGATTGAACAGTTATAGCTGTTTAACATAAAGCACATCTTTGTTCAAAAACGTTAACTTCTCATCTTGCTAAATCCCTTTCTTTACAAATAAGACGCTAGCTACCTCCTGTCCTTTAGCAGGTTTGTGTTTGATGGTTGGATAACAAACAGTTCTAAACAATAGACAATAATCGTTGTTCGTTTATGGACTATAATCCTGTTTTGTGGTAAGACGCAAAGTTACTAATTATGCTAAGGAATGTATCTCCAGGTAACTGACAACGGAGAAAAACAATGTAATATATGTACTGAATGATTAAATACAATGTTTTAAATGTTACAATATATTTATCTAATCTTATATGTATTAAATTAATGTTATAATATATTAAAAGAAAAATTATTGTATATATGCACTTATATAAATTTATTTCGTGTGTACCGGAAACGGCTCAACGATTTGCATCAAATTTTGTACTTAGATAAGATTTTGCTTTTTAATTTATCTTTATATGTTTTTACATATTTACCTAAAAACACGATTTCACTAAATATTTAATAATAATTCTATTAAGTAATCATTTAAAAAAGTATATTTTGGAAATTTATCAGTTAGTTTTTTTTTATTAGTGAGGAATAATAACAATACCAAGAAAATAATATTTTCCAAATTTACATGTAATAAAATAATGATAAGGCAGAATCTCGAACAAAACAAAGGAATTTTGTTGGCTTTAACAAAAGTACCTACCTAACAAGTTTCAGATTAATACCTATATATTTTTACAGCCAATAGTTTGATTTAATAGCATAGCTAAGCTTAATTCAAAACTGTTCAAAAATAAAATGACTAGGTATTAATTCTCGAACTGCACAGTCTCATGTAAGGTTGTCTAATAACTATAAAATGGTGATATACTCGTGAATGCATCTTTAGTATAGCAGCATCTTTGCTACAGAAATAAAATGAATCTTTTGATTAGTAATTAAAAACATTAAAGAAATAGAAAATGCCCGGATCCAATAACATTTTTCAGTGAACTTTATAAATGGCTGTCACTGAAAGCAATAAAGTGAATGGTTGCTTTAAAATGTCTAGACTAAATCTATTTAACTTTGCAGATTTCTTTAGATCGAGCAAATTTAAAACATATAGTAACTAGTATTTAAAAAAACTAATAGCTTCATAGCCATGGGCTATTTATAAATTTTAGGGTTCCGTACCTCGAAAGGAAAAAGGGAACCCTTGTAGGATCACTTCGTTGTTCGTCGTCCGTTCGTCCGTCCCACATGAAAAAAAAAATTTTCACAATTATATAGTTATTTTAATCTTTCATACTATGGAACCAACGGTGTTCGAGTCAGACTCGAACTTGTCCGATTTTAATTATGTTAAAGCATTTTTTACCATGTAAAGAACCATTCATCTTAACCTGACGAAGATCATTTATTTGGAGAAACCATTGAAAATAAAAAAAGAACATACAAATTATGATCATAAATTACAATATAAACACTTACGGCTAGAGATGTTTATTAATGAAATGTGTGAATTCGAGTACGACTATATAAAAACATGGCGTTGAATATGACGTTCCGGTAGTTGGCAGAGCCAAGTCTATTAATCATATGGTTGACGCCTATTGGGTGTGGCTCCGATTTATTAATTTCTGAGGAATCATTAAATTGAAGCCGCTGTACAATGGCCTAACGATTACATGGTGTAATTTGTCTTACAATGAAACTTAAGAACGATCAACTCGTTGATAACATGCACTCATACGTAATTTTATTATGAATTCTGCATCCATCTTCTTCTTCTAGATTTTTATGTATATTATAAATACCATAAGATAAGTTTAATATTATTTAAATATAATAGAACGGTTATTTTGCGAACAGTATAGTTTTTTTAGCTAAAAAATAATTACTTAGGTCTTACGAGTATTTTTAGTACATAGATATGTATGTACATTGTACATAGTAGAGTCACAGCATATATCGATGAAAAACTATATTCACACGATTGATTCGATATCCGCTTTACATGTTACATACATATGTAATGCATGTACCTATTCACATTAATTTGAAAAAGAGTCACAATACTTCCTGATTCATTTATGCATGATAGAATACGCGAAAAAATAAACAAAAACTTATTCGATTAAGCGTAATAAAAGTATAAACAAAATCCTATTCGTTCTCAACTAAGTCAATAAAATCCTACCACACAGTATTACAGCATCGACTTTAGCTTGTTTGCAAATACAAATGGCCGGAAACCAAACAAATCAATACGCAGATAGAGATTCAATACTGCAAAATCAAATTAATTTACATATATCATTAGGCTTATTAATGATATTCTGAGTGCAAGAGCTAATTGCCTTCAGATAGCTCAGTGTTACACTTGCTACTGCACAGCCGGTTAATTATACCTGGTTGTAAAGTGGTTTAGCAACTTAGGTATTTATTAGCGACTAACTAAGGTCAATTATCTACTCTAGTATCGTTAGCGGTAACTTAATCGAGTTTCAATTACGTATTCACCCTTTAAAAAGATTACAGGCCTGCTGTGAAACGTATCAGCCTTCGTAACCGATTAAGCTTTAGGGCGAAATGAAAGTGCAAAAAATAACATATATATGAACAAAATTGAATATCTAGGAATAGCGAAATATTTGTGCAAAGCAATGCACATGAAAGCTTGTAATAAAATAATTCCTTTTCAACTAGGCGTAAATTGTTGAAGCTGACCCACTTTTCCGACGGCTGTTGAAATTATAATTCCTGTAATCTGTACTATACCTAGTAAAATTAAATTCGTTTATATTTAATTTTTACATGTAAACTTGCTTTTATTGGTAAGACATAAATATTAAAAAGATAGAAATATAAACACTTATTATTAACAGCTATTTATCGTATAAGTAATCATAAGATACGCAGCACCGCTAGCTGTCCAAAGAAAGATTAGATCGAATCCATCAAAGTCACATGCTTTAAGTAATATTCCATCAAGGTGAACTATTATCCAATAAACAGATGCCTCTTGCGTATAGATGCTTTATTTAAAACCGCATAAATGTTAAAACTAAAAATTAATACACAAAGAATAATGAGAGTACCAATTGTAAATTTCTCACTTACTTAAAGAAAGTATACCTTGAAGTGTGTGAGAGAAATATAAGCAAACGTATCCTTCGAGAAAGAGTCAATCCTGCGGCAACACAATGTCTGTCAACACGATAACTGTAATTTCGATACAAAACTTTATTATTAAAAATATATAAATATATATATTTAAAAAAGAAAACAATTTTTTATCAAAGTATTGAAATATGATTATTTTTGAAGATTTTAATCTATCAAACATTTATTCTATTATGAGTAATGAGTATGATAGACATAGTTTATTCTATGTAGATAAAAAAGGACGAACGAATCCAATGCTCGAATCCAAAATCCTCTCGTGTATAAATTATTTATGTAAATTTCTTTGACCGCTCAAAATTATATTTCAGCATCGACGTGATTAATGTAGACAGATTTTTCACTTGGCTTCTTCCTAACGAAACGATCAAACAAATAAAGTTGCGATTGGTAAGCGCTCAGACGAATGTCTGCTGGGAATTCATTAGAATCTCTTCGAAAAAAGAATGGCCGTGATTTTACAATATTGTTTGGCTGACAAATAGGTTGTCGTTGCTAAAAGGTTTTCTTTTTACTTTATTAATAAAATAATTCGAATCGCGTCCGAACGTACATACCTCGTATAATTGAACGCAATCACAAATTCTATAGAGAAGTTTTTAGTTTTTGGTCACGTGAATAAGGGATGACGTGGTATCTGAGCGTATAAATAAAACACAATACATTAAAATTCCTGAGGTTAAGGGCTTTCTTTAAATTAAGTGTATTATAATGAAAAATATATGGTCGGACCGTGATTCGAACGAGACCTGTACTCAAGTGATATTTCCGACAGGAGCCGAGGGGCGCATGCGTTTAATGAAATCAAAAGGATTAAGAGCATCTGCCTGCTTGTTATTCAAATCGATTGGGAGCTCGTTTATCATTTTAAATAAGCTACTGCTTAGATAAATGCGGGGTGTGGTTCGTGTGCAACAAAGGAAGCGGTATTCGGTAGCTCAATTAACAAACCAGTTATAGTAGAAAATGAATAAAGGGGAACTAACTTTGTGGTATGTGAGAATAAAATTATTTGACAAATTAGCTATCTGATGACTAAGCGCTGCGCGGTACTGACCTATTTGATTGACCCTTTTTATTTATGATAAAACTTAAGCTTAGCCAACAAAATATATATTTGCAAGAACTTAAGATATGTATGAACAAATATAATATCTATATTTATACTTATACTTATATTATAAAGAGGCATTTTTTTGTGTTTGTTTGTTTGTACCGAATAGGCTCTGAAACTACTGAACCGATTTAGATGAAATTTCGTAAGAAGATAGTTTAAGACCCTGGAAAGGAGTTTTACCCCGAAAATCATCCCTTAAATGGAGATGAAAGTTAGTATGGGGAAGCAACCTTGGACGAGTCTGAGCGAAGTGAGGGTGAGTCGCTAGTTTATTATAAAGATATACCTATACTATATTTCTATTATTA